TTGGAGGAGTCTGCAGTCGTCTTCAGTTTTAATAGGTCGAAACAAAAGACTGTTGTCAGCAAAAGGTCTAGCAGAAGAGTAGAAAGTACCTTTGTTTCTCTGATGGTTGCTGTTTAGCTGATGCAGATTCTGCTACTATTTATTTATTTCTTTTTTAGCTAATTGTTTGTAAAAGTCAAGTTTAATGTCACCAACTCTTTGAATTTTAATCTTGAATGGTTGTCCAGGACAAGGCAAGTAACATTGCTGATTTCCTTATAGCAGGGAGCACTGAAATTAAGTAAAAAGTGCAGTAAGAATATACTTTCTCTCCCACACTATCTATTGCATGATTAGGAAGAGCTTGTCGCAGACTTGCCCCTGATGGAAATGGAGTAGATATTGTTAGTGGAAAATTGAACCAACTACAGTTCTAAGGCAGTTTTTGTCAGAAATTTGTGAAAAACTGGGCAACTTAAGAGAGTAAAAAGGGGGTAAAATAGATATAACCAGAACTAAAGTGAAGTTCAGGGAAACTCTAAACAGCGAATATTGCACTTAATATTTTACTCTTTATAGAAGATGACAGTGTTTGCTTCAGTGAGTTATATGACTCGTAAACCAAAAAAATCATGTTATATTGGATATTGATTGGGAAAATTTCAGTAAATTCACTATCATGAAAAGTAATATAACAATTTGCTTAATAAGTCTGTGCTCTATACATATAAGTTTGGAAAATCAGAAGGGGGTTTGTAGAGAAAATAGAACTAAAGAATTATGGAAAATACCAGTGGATGAAATACTGCTTCCTTCTTTACATCATTGATGACTAGAATTTTACTTGCCTCCCTCCTGATATTACTTCAAGAAGTCATGACTTAATTAGCAAATGTAAAACCACAACATCGATAATTTTTCAAGAGACCCTAGTCTATTATTTTCTCACTAGTAAACAAGATGTCTGCTTGTGTATCTTGCCATTGCTAACTTTAAAGGAGTGGAAAGTGCAGATTCTAATTGGCCAAGAGAGTATAACCTTTCATAAGTTTCTATCCTATACATGTGCATAAATTTACAGATTACTTTCATGCTGGTTTCTTTAAGATCCAAACATTGTAATATTTTTGTGTTTCAGAGGATCTTGACCCCGATGAAGTGGCAGATTTTATTGCTACTATAATGGACTCGGAATTTAACACTTTAGTTGAAGATGACTCGGATCTAGAGGTTAGTCTGTTGGAATCTGTTTAAAAACACCTGTTTATAAGTCTTGACTTATTGCCACTGTATAGGATATATATATATATATATATATATATATAAATATATATATATATTATATATAAATATATATATATATATATATATTATCATAGATATATATATATTAATATATATATATATATATATATATATATATATATATATAATATATAATATATATATATATATAAATATATATATATATATATATATATATTAATATATATATATATATATATAAATATATATATATATATATATATATAATATATATATATATATATATATATATATATATATATATATATATATATATATATATATATATATATATTTATAAAGTGTTAAGGCAAGTGAGGTAGAGTTTGATAGAGAAACCTCCATAACTTTTTGATTTGAATACTTTGTAGATACTGTACAGAAAATGATATTGTTAAAGTTTTTTTTTTTAATCATTATCATCATTATTTTCTTTTTTTAGGTTGCCACAGTTCTATGCCGCTTTTATCGGTTGAGTGAAGCCGGAGAAAAAGATAAAATTCAAGAGGAGTTGGAAAAGATGCCAAAATATAACCTTGATTCATGTGTGGTTCAAGATACAGAGAATGAAACCGAGGTGAGTAACAACTGATTATGCATTACTCATTTACATATAGAGAATGGGATATGCAAATCACATTCTGTCTTTGTCATAGTTGTCTTTATATCTATTTATGCACCAAATCCAAAATCCCTCAAGAGAAGGCAACATCCTAATGCTTTATTTGGAGTTTATGGTGAAAAATGCAATCATCTTAATATGGACGTAAGATGAGTGAGTGAGTGAGTGAGTGAGTGAGTGAAGTGAGTGAGTGACGTGAGTGAGTGTGAGTGAGTGAGTAGTGAGTGATGAGTGAGTGAAAGTGTACTTGGGGGAACCATTGTTATAATGTAATTTTTTATGTGAGGATCTGTTGATAGCCTAATCCAAAAAGTGAATACAATTGTTATTCACTAGTTATTTCATAAAGTCCCTTTACATTGAGTATTGAGGTCACATTAGTCCATTCCTGTGTGGTGTGTGGATGTGTGTGAGTATGCATGAGCATGCGTGTATACAGTGTACGTGTGCATGAACGTGTGCATGTGTGTGTGCATGCATGTCCATGATTATATGATTTGATATATGTATCCATATTTAGTAAATGTGCATGAGTATATTTGTATGAGTGTGATGTTTAGTACATGCTTATTAGTGTTTAAGAAGTAATTATCTTGTTACTCTATTAATCTCTGCCTCCTGCATAGTCAAATGTATTTGTAATCCATATTCAGTAATTCTTTTGTGACCTCCTCTTTGCAGGATGATACACATGAGATGATGACAGACCAACTGACAGAACTGCAGCTGCATGAAAACGGCGGTGACTGCGGTGGTGACAATGGCCAGGGTGAAAGGGAGCTGACAGAGCTGGAGAAGCAGCAATTACAGGATGAGGCTGACGGCTGGACCGTGCAAAGGAAAGGAAGGAAGAGGCGGTAGTGCGGCCTGACTTGTAAAATAAAAGAAATCTCAAAATGTGAATGGTTTTAATTCAGACATTTGAAAAGTTATGTAAAATACAACACAAACATGTGTATATGGCATATGCACACTCATGATAGATATACAGTATATATTTATGTAAAATAAGATCAAACATATTACATAACAAGCAGATGACAATAACAAGAATGAGACGAAAAGTAAAGATATTGACAGGTATTACTGATATACAGGAAGCTATCATGTTAATAGGCTATTAGGAGAAAATTAAGAAAATAAATGCAGTAAAATAATGGTTGCCTATGAATTGGCAACGGTTAATCAAGGTGGCTTTAGCAGAAGCTGGACAAATATTTCTAGAATGATATTGTCTCTCTTTAGTAACCAGGCCCATTGAGTAAGCTTTGACTCATGAGCTCTGAAAATGGTGCAATAGCTTTCCTGATAAACTTTCCCCACATTGTTCTGCATATATATAAGTACATATATATATTATATATATATATATATATATATATATATATATATATATATATATATATATATATATATATATATATATATATATATATATATA